ACTACTACTACTACTACATATGTATCGAAAGGTTTGACTGGCTCTGTTGTCTGATGTGGTCATCATTGGTCACGGCCCAATTCAGAAGATTTTTGCTGTACCGCCATATCACCCATTTCATTTCAATTGGCCATTGTAAGAACGATGTATGAAGGAGAGAGGGGGAGGAGTGGGAGAGGAGAGGGGGAAAGATGGAGAAACTGGAAAGGAAGGGGGTAAGGGTGAAGGTGGACGACATATGTATCATCGCATGATGATGGCATTCCTGCACCTGTATTTCGTCCTCCTCCTCCACTTCCTCCTCATCCTCCTCCTCCTCCCCTTTCTCCTCCTCTTCTACCACCTTCTCCCTTTTACTTCATTTTTACCCCGCCTTTATAGATCTTTCAAAGCACATTCCAACATTTCCCCCCTTTGGTGTTATATGAATTTAACCTCTTGTACAATCCTCAATTTCACAATTATTATATTCAAAATTTTATCCCTTACTTTAAAAATGTTCATTTGTGTAATGATCATGATAGTAATAATAATATATAATAATAATGATAATAATGATAATACTAATTAATAACAATGATTAATAATAATAAATAATGATAATAATTAATAATAATAGTTGGCAATAATAATTAATAATAATAATTACTAACAATTAATAATAATTAGCAATGATAATGATAATGATAACGATAATGATAATCATGACGATGATGATGATGACGTACACGAGATATATTTGATGATGTATTTATTGCTTTCCAATGCTCTTCTCTAATTCACTTTCTTTGTTCTCTTTTCTAATTGCTAATTCCCATTGTAGACATTGTTTATTGGTACTTTACCAAACCAAACAATTTGTTAATTCAAAGCGTTTATTTATTTTGATTATTCATTGATTGTTCTTGTTCCTGTTCCGAAGACTAAAATTTCCATTAGCAAGTAACTTTACACACTTTCTTTTATCATTCTTTAAAAAACTTTTCAAAATATTCACAAATAAAGCAGTTTTATTTATCTTATAAAACATCAATTATTCCATCTTTCGGTAAATGTTTCAAAACTATTGAAAAACTAAGTATCGATTATTATTTGTTACTTACTAACCTTTTCGTTCTTCCATAGATGTAGATATAGATAGATAGATAGATAAATAGATAGATAGATAGATAAATAGATAGATAGATAGATAGATGGATAGATAGATAGATAGATAGATAGATAGATAGATGGATAGTTAGATAGATGGATAGATAGATAGATAAATGATTGTACTAATACAGTCATTGAGATAACGGTTTATCATGAGCAATATTTATTGATTTAATCAGATAATATGGGTTACCGGGTAACCCTTAATTACTCGCGACAATTATGTTTAATTAAATATGCTCATATATGCATTCTCATATACATTTCTCTTATTTTTGACTTTAGCAACTAAAAAAAAAAATAATGAAAAAGAATATTTGAAATTTGGAAGCAATGAAAAGTACGAAGAATTTTCCATTGAATAATTAATTTTTACTTGTTATTTCTATTTGAACATTTATATAATTCATTCAAGAGTTCATATATATCCTTAAATTATACAACTATATAACTCAATGCATACACATACAAGCTTTTTNNNTTTTGAAAAGTACCATTTATTTTTTGTGGTCATCAAAAATGTGTTCTCATCACATATGCTCTTTTTTTTCCTTCCCCGCTTCCACCCCGTTCTGTTTTTATCTTCCATATTCTTCAAATTTATTCCTCAACTTCCGATTTAAACTCCATCACCAAAAATTAACAGATTCAATTGATACGTCATTTTTATAATCATCATCATCATCATCATCATCCTATTCCAAAGTTGTACTATACAACATTCCATAAAAATGTGCCGTTACTGCTCAATCATTGAAATGAACACAATTTCAATACTAAAAATGGTTGCTGTTTAGGATTGATATAGTTGTTATTCATTGGTTATTCATTTTTTTAAAAAAAAAAAAAAAAGTAAATAAATAAAAGATAGAGAGAAAGTTTTTTTTCTCCTCAAATAGTTTTTGTTTCTCTGTTTTTTTTTTCGTTTTTATCTTATTAATAATAGTGTTGGAAAGAAATTCTATCAGCTACATATTATTTTAAATTTGCCTTTCATTTTTTTTTTTTTGATGTTACCAGTAAGTAATAATTTTGATATAACATGGATTTTACAAGTTTGTGAAATTTTCCACATGAATGATAAAATATAATTGTGAGATTTTTTTTTTGGTGAGGAAGAAGAAAGAAGAGAAATGGAAAAGGGAGGGATTCCACTTTCATTTTTTTGCTTTTCTTTCTTTCTTTCGCTCTTTTTTTTTTTCTCCCCCCTGAAGGAATTGACAGGATAACTTTGACAAAGCAATATTTAACTGATTTTTCAAGTAAATTTAATTTGTTTGTTGCAAGAACCTGTATTGTGACATTACACTGGTAATGGTAATTTTCCGTGTGTCTCACAACTGATCCAATAATTTTGAACTATTTTCAAATTTAGCAAATGCTATCTATAATTTTGAACTATTTTCAAATTTAGCAAGTGCTATCTCATCCTGTCGTCCCTCATCCTCCTCCTTCTCCTCCTCTTCCTCCTCCTTCTCCTCCTCTTTCTCTTCCTCCTCCTCCTCCTCCTCTTCCTCTTCCTCTTCCTCTTCCTCTTCCTCTTCCTC